ATGTCCACGGTAGGACTTTCCTGGGAGGCAAGGAAGGCTTTCCTTCCTTCCCTTCTCTCTCTGTCTGGAATATCAGCATCCCTGGGTATCTCCCTCCTCACCTCCTTCTCCCTGTGCTGCCACGGGAAACCAGAGGAGCTGGAGATGAAATATTGTCCCAGTTACCTCTCAGGAACTTGTTATTCCCATTGGGATAACCTCCTCCATCCCTGAGGGACAGCTCCTCCATGCCCGAGGAGGACAACAACGGGACTTTATTCCCCTCTCCATCACATTCTTCAGGCACTTCCAGGGGTTTATTTTACTTTGTGGTGCCAACCACCCATTCCAGCAGCTCGTTACCTTCATTGGCACGTTGAATAATTACAGAGTGGGGAGGAACATTAAAATAGGGACTGAATGCACCAAAAATAGGGATGCCAACTGTGTCCCGACTGTCTGGATCCTCAGGAATTCATGTGGACGAAGGCAGCTCGTCTGTGATGGAGCCCCTGAGATCCTGGGATTGGAGGATATCATTCCAATGTTAAAAGGACTGATAGCCTCGGACTCTGCATCAGATATTAAAGGGACAAAAATTTTGCATACTCCTGGTTCTTCCTCTGTTAGACTCGTTAAGGCCTTGGAAAATATTGCCCGGAATTAAGAAGCCCCATGAAATGTTGAATCTAATTAGGAGGGACTTGGTTGTGGAGTTCTTCAAACAGTTGAGTCAATATTGTCTGGTATAATTGTGGTAATTCCCGGCGGTGCCGCCGCTCCCGGCACCTGGGTGGGGGAAAAGGGGGAATTTCGATGGTTCCCATCCGAGTCCTTCAGTGAGCAAAGGGGAGTTTTTCCCGACGCGCTCCGTGGAATTTATGGGAACTCTGGTGGCATCCTCAGGAGCGGGATCCTGGTGTGGATCCCAAGCTGGTGCTGAACGTGACCTTGGGATGTGCTCGGCAGCGCTGCCCTGGGATTACCTGCAGGGCTTTGGTGGGGATGCTCAGCCTCTCTCCAGCCTAATTCCCATCGTCATCCTCCTCCTCCTCCTCCTCCAGCGGTTTGGTCTTGCTGCAGAGGAAGCTCCTGGGGATGCTCCCAGCCCAGCAGAGCCCTTGACCTTACAAAATGCTTCTTCCAGGAGCCCTGAAGGAAAAAACTGGGAATAAACCCAGCAAGAGGCAGCACATGGCACGGGGGCAATGGCACCTTCCCTGCCCAGCTCCACCTTCTCCCTTTGCTCTCCCCCCTCTCAGTCCCGCCTCCCAGCCGTTCCTCAAGTACCTCTGGGCACTGATTCATCCGTAGTTTCCGTGTCTTATCAGGGAAAGGCCTCAATAAATCCCGGTGGCACCGCTCAAGTTGCCTTTTGTCTCTCACAATGCTTTTGCTCCTTGCTGGAGTGTCGCTTTCCCGAGGGCGCCTCTGCCGCAGCCGGTCCCCCAATTTCCTCAATCAAAGGGAAAAAAACACCAACACTCTGCCTGCGCTTTGAAGGAGCAGCGCAATCGGGAGAGTTCATTATGCTGGATTAATTGCGATAATTATCAGGAGAAGTGAGCTATTACCCTGCTTGTTGTGGAGGACGAGGGGAGGCACCGGCGGTGGGCAAAACACATCCCGGCTCCCCGGGCCACGCTCCGTGCCCGCCATCCCTCGGGAAGGGGGAGATGCCTCCTCCAGTCGTGGTTCCCAAGTGCAAATAGGAGCATTTAATTTAAAAATTAAATTTAAAATAAATATTAGTTAAATATTAAAGAGAGGAAATCGTGCCTTCGCCGTAACCTGACCGGGGGCGTGTGTTTAAATAAAGCACCACTGAAAATTTTTCAATTTTAATTTTTAAGGTTCCCCGGTTTTCTTAAAAATGTTCCTTTTAAGGCAAGGATGGATATTTTGCTGCTTCTTTTTCCGCTCTCTTAGGAGATACTGATTTTATCCATGTGGGAGGCTGCTCTAGGGAAAGAAGGGAGCGGGAGGGGGTTTTTTGTGAGAGCAGAGCCTCTGGGGTCTATCCCATATCCAGCCACTTCCAGTCCATCCAGTGCCTTTTCCAGGCTCACACTGCTGAATACAAATGTTGGTGTTGCTCTGTGCCCTCGTGTTCCAGAGACAAAGCCTTTGTGTGGGGAGGAAGAGGAGGAGGTGGTGGTGGCTGTAGTTCACCCTCAGTTCCATGTCCCAGTGAAATGGGATGGACACCCCCGTTCCCTGCGGCACAAGGGATGTGTTGGATCAGAAGTTCTCACTCCACAGATGGTCCTTCATGGCCTGGGCAGAGTGGGACACTTGGGCTGTGGGACAGACAATCCAAAATGGGATTTAAGTGTTGGGGCTGCACCACCAACTGTAGGAATGTTCTCTGCAGCTGAGGAGTGGCCTCAAGCAAACGTTTTGGGATAAAATCCAAGGAAACAGGGCTCTGCGGAAGCAACTCTCCTTTGCAGCTCCCAATCCACACGAGGTAGAAAAACCTCAGCTCTGGGGGTGACAAAACTCCAAGTTCTGCGACCTGAAGAGAGGGGGAAACAGCACTTGGTAAAAAGCAAAAACTGGGAAACCAGGAAACCTGGGAGCTGCCAGGCTCGGGGAGGGCACCAGCCTCCTGCCACCCCTTATGTGGAGGTGCCAGACACAAATATCTGTCCCAGCATCTGCAGGGCCAAGGCCTGAAGGTGGGAGAGTTTATTGCACGGGGAAATTCTCCTCCTGGCCTGTCTCCTCCTCCTCCTGGAGCTTCCCCACCAAATCCGGCCATGCCAGAACACACACTCGCCTCCTGCACCTCGTGTTCAGAGGGAAGAGGTGCTGCCAAAGCCAGCCAGCCCTCACCCCAAAATGTCTGGATCCAGCAGGGAGCGGGGACAGGATCCTGGAGCTGATGATCCTCATGGTGCCCAGCCCCTCGAATTTTCCCGAATTCTCCCAGAATTCTCCCTTCCGGGCCTTTGGACTGAGCTCCGTGATGCTTCCAAGGAGCAGGAAGCTCCCTGGGGGTGTGTGAGGTCAGACATTGGGGTGTCAGAGTGCTCCGAGCCCGGGACCCCCTTCCAGGTGGGGTGAGGGATTTGGAGCGAATGGAAACCACGGGGTGCAGGCGGAGTGACCCCCGGGGAGCCCCTCGGAGAGACCGACACCCACTCTGGGGGGGGTCCCCGGGGTCCTCCCGGCCCCTGGGGGTGCCACCCACCCCCCTCCCACGGACCCACAACGGGCGACAGGGGGCGCCCCGTCACCGCTGTTGGGGGCGGGACAGGGGCGGCCCCTCCCTCTTTTTGGGGGTGTCACCCCCACATCCCGTCCCAAACCGGCTCCCAAATCCCCCAGATCCCCTCACGACAGGAGGGTGCCCTTCTGGAGGAGGCGAGCGGGGTTGGCGACGACTCCCGAGGGGTGTTGGAGCTCAGGGAAAAAGAGTCCCGAGGGAGATTTTGGGGTGTTCGCAGGGCGGGGGGGTGTGGAGGGGTGGTGATGGTGGGTGTAAAATCCTGCTCTCTGGGGGATGGTTAAAAACTATCGGCGAGAGGGAGTCGGCGAGGGGGGGTGAGCCCTCTCGGGAGCGATAGTAAATAAATAAATAAATAAATAAATAAATGAACAAATCGGTAAATAAATAAGGTTTGCGGGTTTTTTTTGACGGTGGGTAGATATAGGTGGGAATTCATGGAACAGCTCCCGAGAGCGGCGGAGGCGGCGGGGGCCGAACTCCAACTCCGGGGGCCGGGCAGGGATGTTGCCGGGGGACGCACGGGCCCAGTCCAGAGGGGAATGGAAGTGAAGGGAAGCCCCCCGGTCCCTCCCGCCACCCTCTTTGCCCCCCCTCCCCTCCGCCGGGAGCCTCCGCCGTGCCCGCAGCGCCGATGGGGCGGGCGGCGCGGCCGGAGGGTTTTGGAGCCGAGTGTGTGGGGGGTGATTTTTGTCATCCGCCTGTCCTTCCCCCCTTCCTTTCTCTCTTCCTCCTTTCCTCCTTTCCCCCCCCCCACTCCGAGGCGCTTCGGCAGCGGGAGCGGCGGCGCTACCCCGACGGCGCGCACCGGGACCCCGCACCGGGACCCCGCACCGGGACCCCGCACCGGCACGGCCCCCGCCGCCCCGACGGCGCTTCCCCGCCCTTTCCCTGCCGTCCCTGCTTGGTTTAGTCGCGATTTTGTTGCAGGAACCGGAGCCGGAGCCCAGGGAGGAGCCGGCGCCCGGGGAAAAGCCGCGGCGGCGGGTGCGGAGCTGCCGGGGGGGACAGAAGCGGGGCTCGGGCGGACCCCCGGGACCGCCGAACAGCGACGGGGAGAAAAGGTGCGCGGGGCCGGGCTGGGGCCGGGGTGCTGCGGGGGGGGGACACACAGATGTTTTCGGGGGGCTGCAGGGGGTCTGCTCCCATCGGGGGTGCCGGGGAACGGGGGGGGGAGGCAGCTCCCGTCGGGGCTTCCCGGAGAGAGGGGGTTGCGATGGGAATCGTCTCCCAGAGGATCGCCCTGCAGAGGCGGGGGGCAGAGCGGGGTACCGGGGTGGTCGGGGAGCCCCCGGGGTGCTGCCGGCCCCCCGCGCCGGGCGCGGAGAGGTGCGCGGGGGGCCGCGGAGGAGCCGCTCCCGCCTAGGTGTGAGCTGATTATTCAAATGGGCAGCCGAGGACCTGGGGATTGGAGGCTCGCCCGGCCGCTCCGTGCTATATCACTCGGGCACCCACGTCACTGCAGCACTTGTCCTCCTCTTCCTCCTCCTCCTCTTCTTCCTCCCTCCTCCCTCCTCCTCCTCCTCCGGCTCCTCCATCGCCTCCGGGCGACTCTTCGCCGCGAAGCGCTGCGAAAACCCACCTAAGGAGCAGCGGCGAAAAAATCCCACCCCAGCCCCAGCGCCGCTCCATCCCCCCCTTCCTCCCTCCCTCCTCTTCCTCCTCCTCCAGAGGCTCCGGCGGAGGGGAGGGAGGGCTGGGGACTTTTTTTTTTCCCCTTTTTTTTTTTTTTTTTTTTCCGCTGTTTTTTTTTTTTTTTTTTGGGTCGCTCTCTGTCGTCGTTTGTTGTGGCTGTTAAATTTTAAACTGCCATGCACTCCACTTCCAGTATGCTGGGAGCGGTGAAAATGGAAGGCCATGAGCACACGGACTGGAGCAACTACTACGGGGAGCCCGAGGTAAGGAAGGAGCCGGGGCTCCGCCGTCCCCCCCCCGGTGCCACCCGGCCCCGACCGGGGTCCCCTCGCCGCCCCAGCCCCGGGGCACAGTTAACGTTGTCACCAAACTGCGGTTCAGGGCTGCGGGCGGGGGTCCCGAGGTGTGGGTGGAGGTCCCGAGGTGCGGGTGGGGGTCCCGGGGTGCGGGTGGGGGTCGCGGGGTCCCGGAGGGCTGCGGGCGGCTGCTCCCTATTTTTTCCTTGCCCCCCCCCGCTCCCCCGTCCTCACTCCCAGGTATTTTTTTCTCTCCGGGCAGCGCTGTCCCTTCCCCTTCCTCCAACTCTCCTTCCCGGGACGGCTCCGCCGATCCTGCTGCCAGCCCGTCTCCGGTTTAATATATATAAAAATATATTTGTTTTTCATTAAGGAGAAAAACAACCCCTCCCGCGCCGGGATTTAACCCTTTCCCCCCCCACCTCCCCGCCCCGCGGAGCTCCGGGGCTGCGGGGCCTCTCGCCGGCCACGACCCGGGCAGGGCTGGGCTGGGCTGGGGGGTGTCCCCCGCAGTCCCCGCTCCCCTCGGCCCCCGCGGGGTGACCCGGCTGCCCCCCTCTGCCACGTCCCCCCCTGTGTGTCGCTTGCCCCCGCAGAGCTACTCCTCGGTGAGCAACATGAACGCGGGGCTGGGCATGAACAGCATGAACACGTACATGACCATGTCGGCCATGAGCACCACGGCCAACATGACGGCCGCCACCTCCATGAACATGTCCTACGCCAACACGGGCATGAGCCCCTCGCTCGCCGGCATGTCCCCGGGCGCGGGGGCCATGCCCGGCATGGGCTCGGCCGGCGTGGCGGGGATGGGCGCCCACCTGAGCCCCAGCATGAGCCCCATGGGGGGCCAAGCGGGCTCCATGAACGCCCTGGCCCCCTACACCAACATGAACTCCATGAGCCCCATCTACGGGCAGTCCAACCTGAACCGCTCGCGGGACCCCAAGACGTACCGGCGGAGCTACACCCACGCCAAGCCGCCCTACTCCTACATCTCCCTCATCACCATGGCCATCCAGCAGTCGCCCAACAAGATGCTGACGCTGAGCGAGATCTACCAGTGGATCATGGACCTCTTCCCCTTCTACCGCCAGAACCAGCAGCGCTGGCAGAACAGCATCCGCCACTCGCTGTCCTTCAACGACTGCTTCCTCAAGGTGCCGCGCTCCCCGGACAAGCCGGGCAAGGGCTCCTTCTGGACGCTGCACCCCGACTCGGGCAACATGTTCGAGAACGGCTGCTACCTGCGGCGCCAGAAGCGCTTCAAGTGCGAGAAGCAGCTGGCGGCCAAGGACGGGGGCGGCGCGGGCGGCGGCGCGGGCGGCGGGGGCAAGAAGGGGCCCGGGCAGGCCCCCAGCCAGCCCCTGGGCGAGGGCAGCTCCTCGGGGGGGCTCCGAGGGCTCCGGCGGCGCCGAGTCGCCGGCCAGCGCCTCGCCGTGCCAGGACCACAAGCGCGCCCTGGCCGACCTGAAGGGCCCGGCGGGGCTGAGCCCCGGGGAGCCGTCGGCCTCGCCGGGCCAGCACCTGCTGGCCCCACCGCACGCCGGGCTGCCCCACGACGCCCACCTCAAGCCCGAGCACCACTACGCCTTCAACCACCCCTTCTCCATCAACAACCTGATGTCCTCCTCGGAGCAGCAGCACCACCACCCGCACCACCACCACCACCACCACCACAAAATGGACCTGAAGGCCTACGAGCAGGTGATGCACTACTCGGGCTACGCCTCGCCCATGCCCGGCAGCCTGGCCATGGCGCCCGTAACGAACAAACCCGGCTTGGAGTCCTCCCCTTTAGCCGGAGAGACTTCTTACTACCAAGGTGTGTATTCCCGGCCCATCATGAACTCCTCCTAGGCTGGGGAGCGGCGAAAGCCGCCCCCGGAGAGAGGGGGGGAGCTCCCCCCCCGCGCCCCCCCCCCGGCCCCCCCGCAGCGCGGCGGACTCTGAGCGCTGGCCAGCACGGTACATATACATACATATATCTATCGATTTTTTTTCTTCTGTTGGCTCCAGATGTTTGCATCCCTTCGGGAAGCGGCAGCCGTGTGTCTCGCGGGCCCGTGCCAAGGGCAGGCGTGTCGGTCACCCTCCCCCCCCCACCCCTTCCCCGGCCCAAAGCCACCCGGGGTGGGGGGGTGTGCTGCGATTCCCTCGGTTTGCCTTGTGGGGTGGTTCGTTTCGGTGGGGAGGGCGGGTCGGGGGGCTCGGGGATGGGGAGAAGGGGGTTCTCTCGGGCTTATTTTTATTTTTTTTTCGTTGTCGTCGTCGCAAGGAGGTATAAATATATCTATTTTTTTGTGTATGGAAGTGGTGGGGGGCAAAGCGAAAACCCCCACGAGGAAAACGGAACCCTCCTTCATTGTGAAACCCGCGCTAGTTTGGAATCCGAGGACCAAAAGTCTTGTAACGTTGTAAAAAGGGGGGAAAAAAAGGGGGGGGAGGGGGGAAGAGAAAAAACAATACGAAAAAATAAATAATAATGATAATAATAATAATAATAATAATAATAAAATAATAAAAAAAAAAGGCAGGATAGATCGTTGTAATTGAAACAAACGCTTGATGTTACCGGGAGAGTAAACTACTTGGATCTGATTAATTTATCGTTTCTGTATGCTTTATTTATGGCTTATAAATGTGTATTCTGGTAGCGACCGGCCACATCGCCGCAAACTCCATTAAAGTGTTATTGGCGGTTTTTTTCCCCCGCTGCATCTCTGTTCCGCCGGGACTCGCCGGCCGCCGCCGCCCCGACGGGACCCCCGCCCTGCCCGCCTGGGATCTCCCAAATCCCGGGCTGGGATCTTCCGCAGTCCCCGGCCGGGACCTCCAACATCCCGGGCTGGGATCTCTGCCTTCCCCGGCCGGGACCTCTCCCATCCCCGCCGGCACCCCCGGCATCTCCGCCGGGATCCCTCCATCCCTTCCAGGACCCCCGACATCTCCGCCGGGATCCCTTCAACCCTTCTAGGACTCCCGAGACCGGGACCTCTCCGTTCCCGGCTGGAATCTCCCGACATCATTGCCGGGATCACTCCCATCCCTTACAGGACTCCTGACACCTCCACCGGGACTCCTGAATCTCCACCGAGACCGACCCATCCCTGGCTGGGACCCCTCCATCCCTTCCAGAATCCCCCCATCCCTTCCAGAACACCCCTATCCCTTCCAGAACCCCCCCATCCCTTCCAGGCCTCCCCCATCCCTGCCAGGATCCCAGCATTCCCAGGCAGGGGAAGCCCGTGCCCCCCTGCAAAGCCCGGAGGTGGGAAGTGGGGACCCTCCCGGGGATGGAGAGCCGGGACCCTCATTCCCAAATCATTCCCTGGAGGAATCATCCCAACCGGGCAGTGTTATTCGGGGGGGGGGGATTTGGGGCTCGCAGGGCCAGCACATCCCTGCCCTTCCCGGGACAGGATCCCGGGTTATCCGCGGGGCGAAAAACCCGAAGAGCTTTATTTTAACCACGGCAAACATGTTTATTTTAAGCACCTCCCGGGCTCTCCGAGCCTCCCGCCCCACCGCCGAGACCCTCCGGTGCCCACCGACACCCCCCGGCCACGCAGGAACGCTCATTCCTCTCCCCTCTCCCCGTCTTCCCAACCACTTGTTGTTTTTCCCACGCGTTTACGGGCGCTCGTAGATGTTGCTTTCCCGAAATAACATTCAAATCCTTCTTAAAATTCCGCATTGTCCGCGGGAAGAGAAAAGGGGAGAAAAGGGAGAGGTTGGCGGGGGAGGGAGAGAAGGGGGGGGGGGTGGGTGTAAAAAAAAAAAAAAAAACCCTCCCAAAAAAACAAAACCGGGCTCCAGGCTGCAATGTGTCGGTCTCTATACGCCAAGGACACACACGTTGTGAACCGGGGCATGCAATGTGTTTCATTAGCACATAAAAGGCTCCCGCGGGGACGGAGCACGGGCGCGGGGGTGCCGCCGCTTTGGGGACACGGACCCCCCCCTCCCCGCCCCTGCCTCCGGCCGCGGCCCCGATCCCCCGCCACATCCCGCTCGGATCCCCGCTCCACCACCGGCTCTTTTCTTCCCCCCCTCCCTTTATTTATTCTCCCCATTTTATTTTTTTTCTCCTCTCTTATTTTTTTTTATTTCCCCTTTTACTCCCTCCCTTTTACTTTATCCTATTTTTCTTTATTTTCCCTTATTTTCTATATTTTCTTATTCCCCCCCTTTTATTTTTTCTCCCCTCCTTTCCATTTTCTCCCTTCTACTTCTCCCCTTCATTTTCTCTCCCCCCCTTAATTTCTCTCCTCCCTTTTATTTTTCTCCCCCCTTTTATTTTTTTCTCCCCCCTTTTATATTTCTCTCCCCTTTTATTTCTCCCCATTTTATTTCTCCACCCTTATATTTTTCCTCCCCTCCTTTTATTTCTCCTCCCTTCCGCTTTTCTCCCCCTTTCATTTTTCTACCCCTTTCATTTTTCTCCCCCTTTCATTTCCATCCCCTTACATTTTTCTCCCCGTTAATTTCCCCCTCTTTTTATTCCCCTCCTTTTATTTTTCTCCCGCTTTTATCTCCCCCCTCCTTTTGTTTTTCACCCCAGTTCTACTTTCTACCCCTTTTTTCCCCCTCTCCTCCTATTTTCCTCCTCCTTTTACTTTTCTCCCCTTCCTTTATCTCCCCTTTTTTTTCCTACCTCGCTTTTATTTTTCTCCCCTTCTTTTATTTCCCCTCCTTTACCTTTTCTCCCTCCTTTTATTTCCCCCCTTCTTTCCTCCCAATGTTATTCTCCCCTTTCTTTATCATTTTTCCTTCCCCCTTTCTCTGCCCCGTTTCACAAGGATGACGATTTGAGGGAGAAATGGCCCAAAAAAAAAAAAAATAAAGAGAAAGAAACAAAAAAATCCGCCCGCTAGACGTTATTTCTTTTTCTTCTCCCCCCCCCTTTGGTATTTTTCCCCCCCTCCCCACACAACCTGCCCGCCCCCAACCTTCCAGCAAGTGCATTTTGCTCCTGCCTGGTTAAGCAACCGTGATCTGTGAATAAACAAAGTCAGTAAACAAAAAAAAAAAAAAAAAAAAAAAAAAGGAGGGAAAAAAAAAAAAAAAGACGAAGGGGGGGTGGAATCTAGATCCAAATTCCAGGAGGGTAAACTTTCCCCACCACGTCATACTTCAGCAAATTTACACAGATATTATATTGCGTCCCCTTTCCTTCCCCCCCCCCTCCTTTTGAGCCATTGTGCTTAACTGAATTTTATAAAGCTGATCGATATCTTGGTAAAATATTCATTTTTAAACTAGCGGGCAGCGAAATCTTTGCTTTGTGCTAAAGTCAACAGTCGCAGAGTTTCAGCTCCAATAAATGCCGGGATGCTCCCAGCTCCCGCAGAGCCGGGCCGGCGGCCGGGGCGCAGGTAGGGGACACCCGCCGCTCCTTCTCCTCCTTCTCCTTCGCCTTCAGCTCCCACCTTCTGCTTCTTTTCCAGCCCTTCCTCCTCCTCCTCCTCTTCCTCAGCTCGCCTCGGAGCCGGCGGGGGCGAGGGAAGCGGCCCGGAGGCCGGGGAGGGGCGCGGGGCCAGGGATGGAGGGATGGAGGGATGGAGGATGGATGGAGGGATGGAGGATGGATGGAGGGATGCAGGGAAGGATGGAGGGACACAGGGAAGGGCTGCCTCGCCCCCGCGTTTTGGGGGATCCCTCTGCCAGCGCTGGAGCCGGTGCGGAGCAGGGCAGGGGAGCAGAGGGGGGTGATTTGGGGTTGTGGGGGCAGCCCGAGTGGGAACGGGGCGCCTGGGGGCCCCGATTTGGCCCGTTTTAGCCCCAAACCCCCTCGCTGCCGGGAGGCAGTCGCTGTGCCTCGGCTGGGACAGGGACGGGGCCGTGCGGGGCCGGCTCCCGCCTCCTCCCGCTCCTCCCAGCCCCGCTCCAGGGCTTTACTTCCACATTTTCGGTTTATTTTGGTTTTGGCTGATTTCCCCCTTTCCCCCCCATTTATCCTCCCCGTCTCCGTGACGATCTTTTGTTCCGGGCTGGGAGCGGCCACACCGTGTCCGCCCCACGGAAAGGGGTTTCTCCCGTGGCCGGGACACCGGGAAGCCCCGGTCCCGGTGCCGGTGCCGATCCCGTGGGCGGGTCACGGTCGAGCACCCGCGCGAGCCAAAAAAAAAATCCGGGATCGAATTATTCCCCCCACCGTGTTTCCCGGGAAAACCCGGAGTTTCGGCGCGGCCGGCGGCCCTTCCCGAGATTCGCTGGCACCGGGCACGGACACGAGTGGCATCACCCACGCGGGGATGGACCGGGGGGTGTAGGGCGCGAGTAGAGGGCACAGCTCGGGAGTGTCCGTGTCCGTGTCCGTGTCCGTGTCCGTGTCCCCGCGCTGCTGTGCCGGGTGACATCGCCCCGGCGCTAATGGGCTCTCAATAATTCATCGAAAGCGGCCCCGCGCCAGCCCAATTACTCGTCATTACACGCCTGTCGCCAGCGCGGGGAGGGGGACACGAGTGGGAAGGGGCCATCCCGCCGCATCCCTCCCGGCTGCCCGGCCCCGCACCCGCTCCCCACGCTCCTGCCCTTCCACCCGCGACCCCCGGCTGGTTTTGCCCCTTTTCCCTTCCCCCGATCACCCCCAGGATTCCCTCCAGCCCTCCGGGTTGCTTTGCCCCGGCTCCGTGTTCCCGTTAGTTCCCCTCAAATCCTGATTTAGGGATTTTTTTTTGAGGAGCGGCTGGCCCCGGCTGGGATTTGGGCAGGCTGGGCAGGAAGGCTGCGGGGTCTGAGCCCCCAAATCAGCCCCGATCCAGCCGCTTCCCTTCCCTCCGTTTATCCGTATTTTTTCCTTCCTTTTATTTTATTTTTCCCCTGACTTTTCCCTCAAAAAATGTGGGGGAAGACGCTGCTTTTCCTTGTTGTTTTTTGTTTTAATTATTCGGGCCCCTAACGACGCGCAGCGACGGCTCCAAAGACATCAAAGCACAAAAAGGATGGCACAGGGTGGGGAAGCCCGGTTGGT